GGGGGGGGGGGGGCAAGGAAAGGAAAGCGGCAAATATAATAGTGCCTACTGGAAGAGCTTTCCCGCTTGCATGAGCTAAGCGACTTTATATGCGCGAGAGCTTATTTACGGCAATTGAAGCTCAACGGCACGAGTAAACTCCTCGCGGAGGTGCTCGGCAATATTCGCTGACGGCATACATGAAAGCAGCTGCAGTCCGGGTATTGCATACCCGAGCGTATTATTACTCGATCCTCGGACTTTCGTTTAAATCTGTGAGAAAAGTGACCGAGAGACTCGATGCACTCGGACGCTTTTCGACGATGAGCGCCCATCATCCATCGACCGAAGGTAATTACTTGCCGCTTTCGGCTCCATTTGTCGTTTTTGTTTTTTTTGCAATCCGATCGTACGAGTCACAGGCATACGTAATTGAATTTATTTTGATGGAATATCTATCCATCTAAATATATATACGGCAACCTATCCATTTAATTATTAATAGATCTGAATTTTGGTCGAATCCCGCCACTTTTTCTCTTAAATTTCACAATGTTCTTGCACACCTTTCGCTAATAGCATAAAACAATAAAAGTAACTGGAGAGAAAAATGTCGCGTAATTATTTTACGCTCCCCTTTTACTTTACGGGGGCTCGTTTTACAACTCGACCATTACTATTTTCATTATCTTTTACAAGATCAATTTTTATTACTTATGACTGCCGATACATGAAAAAGTGTAAACCTATTAGAACGCCAGGGATTGCGAGCGTTGAATTTCCACGAACTCGGTTTTCCTACGACACATTCTTTTATTTTAGAATAAAATATAATGCTGCTGCCCTACACGCGTATTGCATTAGCAAGACGTGTATTTTATTTATAAAAGCGTAACGGCAAAAACTTATTAGACGCGTAAATGATATATTATGTTTCATTATTTACGGCGATATAAAAAAACACACACACACCAAAAAAAAAACAAAAAAAAAAACAAAAAAAAAATTGGTTAGAGCGTACTTGCAAATATGAAGCTAATGCAAGAAATTAAGGAGTAAATAGCGAAGTTTTTCGTTCTCCGCCCATTTACGCATAATAATAAACACTTGTATTATTACTTTGTGGCACAACAAAAAGCTACACGATTTAAACTTTGAAAATTAGTTTGCGCAAAATGTAGAGACTTTCGCAGCGATAAACTCACATGTGACCTGTAGGTCCACATAGGGAAAATCTCACCATCGATTTTTTGTCGTTAACACCCCGGCTCCTCCTCCCTCCCTCCCTCCCTCCCACCCTCCCAGAACCCGCATCGTAAAACCTCATTTCCAAATGATTACAAGTCATATAGTGACTAGATGCTTTCAGATTATTCGATTAATCCCGAACACACGATACAACATGTCCACGTTAGCTTAAAGATACCTAATTATTATGGCCACAAGAAAGATTATCAACTAATAATGACCAGATAAAGATAATAACGGCAATATGAACATTTTTAAGAATATGATAATTTAAAAAATTGTCATTCTCAGTTCGTTTCCAGTAATGTGATTTATCATCGACAAATTTAGATTTTCACTTCTTCGATGCCTCTCTATACGTTGCAATTAATTTTTATTACAAAAAAATACGAATATCCAGACTTCTGTTATAATATTCATTAATCATCTGTATATTGTAGATTGCTTAAATAGCTCAATTAATCCATTGGCTTAGCATCTGATTAAAATTTAAACGAAAACTTTTATAGTCCCAACTAGATAATATTTATCCATATCAATAATTACCGTAACCCGCTTACTTTTCGAAGAATTTGAGCTTCTTCCAACCAACCAACCAACCAACCAACCAACCAACCAACCAACAAGACGTAATAAATTAATTTTGCATACAATGAATCGTAAATTATAAGAAAAGATTACTTTTAGTATTATGTTAATTTCACGTATCCCATAAAATTTATCCACAATATCAAAAAATTTCGATAAATAAAGCATTAATCCCGCTGACCAAATTTAAATAGCGAGATACATGTACCGAAAAAGAATTTTAAATTGAAAATTACAGTAAATATAAAATGCAGTTAATTATATTGCCGAACTTCTTAAAGATATTAAATTATCTTAAGATTTATTAGATTATCACGAGTTAAATTATTAGATGTATAAACTTTTCTTTCACAAATGCAAATACAAATTTTTCTATTGAAAAATGTATGTTTTGATAAAAGATCTTATAGAAATACAATGACATTAGATTCCTTTGGAATATAAAATGAATTTTATACAATAGAAAGTTATAATATGACAATAGATTTTTTTTCTCTATGCGCCATCCATTAGTTTCTTCGATTTTATTATATTTGGGAGAAAAAAAAAAAAAAAAAAAAAAAAAGTTATTTAATTTATTTTAATAACTGCTTGAAAAGTATCCGGTTATTAAGAATATCTTCATAACGTTAATAATTAATTGAAACTTTGGTCATTAACTTCGATTGATGAATGAAAGTTAACCATCTATTTTAAAGCTGCAAAATTCTTTCCAATAATCTACCCTCGAATAAAAATGTTGAAGAGCTCCATACTGTTTTTCAGCTGCTTTGATTGGCCGAACATTGCACGGATCGCGTACTGATCTCTTTAACCGAAAGCTTCGCATCAGTGGACGACGAACATCGTTAAAACAAGTTGTGCACATTTCTTTCTTTTAACTCTTCTCCCTTCATACAACTAACTTCCTTCGGCGGATTTATATTCAATACCGTTAATGGCTGTCATAAAAGTCATCGATCAAATTTTCGACAAATTTAATAATCAAAGAAACATGAACGCGACCGGGGTGGGACGATTCTCCATCAACTCTATAATGAATCCAAAGCTGCGTATCCACAACATAATCTACAGTCAATGTAGCTTTAACTGACAGTCATTGTATGCAAATTTTGTTACTTTCTGTTCAAAGAAATAGCCCGCAGCCTTGCCTCTGATGTGTAGCCACCGATAGTCTGAACATTTGCTACTTTCAAAGTCCAAGTTTCCTAGGGAATCAATAATGATACAGATATAACGATAGAGTTAGAGTAGAAACGGAGACGGATATATAGAAATAGAAATACATAGACAGATTGTTAGCTAGATAGAGAAATAGTGAGAGTGAAGGAGCGAGCAATGTCGCAGCGATTGAGAGTTAAAGTAAGAGAATAACGAAGAGACGGAAGGAGATAGATAGATAGATAGAGAGAAACCGGGGACAATAGAGTAGAGGAAAGAATAATCAGGGAGAGGATTCAACGCGCGAGATAAAGAGAAAACGGACAGAAGAGCATATTGTAAACGTGAAGATCAGGGGTAACTGAGATACAAAACAGATAAAAAATAAGGAGAAATATAAAAAAAAAAAAAAAAAAGAAGAAGAAAGAAAAGAAAAAGGAGAAAAAAGGGAAAAAGAAAAGGGAATAATATAGGTAAAGTAGTGAAGAGAAAGATGGAATGGAGATAGAGAAGGACAATGGAAGCAAGCTAAAAACAAGCTTAGGAGCATTCAAACGAGTTGTGATATCTCTTTGCTAAAGAAAAATGAGTTGTAAGTGGTCCATTTTAAGTAACGTAATCATAATAAAAGTTTATTCAATCATTTTTCACCTACATTATGCAAACTGCATAGAGCATATTTAAAATATCCTTATTATTCCTCGAGTTATGAAATAATAAAAAATAATAATCATTGGTAGTATATATATATATATATATATATATATATAGGCTGAAAATTACGTAAAAACTCATTGAAAGTTTGACGGATAAACTTTTTATAATATTTTAATTATTCATTTGATATTATAAACACTTATGATATGGATTTGACCTTAATTTGAAAATTATGTCAGTTAAATCTTTCCTTACGCATTATGTTCGGTCTTTGCATTATTATCTACGAAAGATGAGAGTAATGTCATCCTATTTACAATAATGACTTTAATTCATATTCATTCTTATCAACCTGTTAATTATCAATAAACAGGCATATACGTATGAATAGGAACGAAAAAAATTATTCTTGTCAATTGTATTTTAATATTAATTATTATTATAAATATATAGATATTCTCGTTTATCATTCATAATGTAATGCCAATTAAATTACGCATTGTGTGATTAATATGTGACCTGAAATTGTTTACATTTCGCTATTGTTAAATAGAAATTATATTCAAGATAAAAATTGCATTACATTTAAATTATATACGATCATCTTTTAATAAAAAATTTTCTGCTACTATGACAAAATAATAATACCTATGAATACATAATGAGTATGTTGTTGTGGTTGTTCTTGTTGTTTTTTCCGTTTTTTTTTGTTGTTGTTTTTTTTTTTTTTAATAAAATAATTTATTAATAATTTACTTATAATATAATTTATCGGCAATTGAAACACACTGTGTTAATTATTGAATCATATTAACTATTATTGCATATTATTTCGAATAATATTGATGCATATCTCTCCTTACTCAATATTATTTACTTTCTATGATAAAAATTAATGATTAAAAAAAAAAAAAAATAATAAATGACACCGTAAATAATTAATAATACCGTTCTTTCATACATAAATGCATTATTAATTAGTGTTTAACAAACGACAATGTACCCTCGATACGTAATATTCGTGCCGTTAATTCTTTTAAACAAACTCACGTAAAGCAATGTAAATTTCAACAAATATTCACAACCACGATTTTCATTGTGATCGGCAGGAATATAAAATGGTAAACAATAAAATGAAAAACAAATTGGTCTCGAAAGCATGATTCGATCGATTGTGCGTACGATAAGGAAAAATAAACGAGAATACTTTTTTGAATCACCCGACCTTATCGGATAAAATTCGCTAAGGCAACAAAAATAACAGAGGCCGAAGAGGAAAAGCTTCGGAGGGAATTAAGGTTGCACTGTGTTTGTACTTACTTTTCCTTCTCGTTCGCTTCCGGCAATAAAAACTTCACTGCCACGAGCCTTTTGCCAAGGGTTGTAGTCGTGCCATACTCTGGAATTCCTTCCGCTTCCGCGATGTAGACCTTCATTAAAATGGATTTTTTTACCTTTTCAGGGGAGAGTTTTTCTTTTTGCATTTTTCTCATTGAGAGGGAGGGAGAGAGAGAGAGAGAGAGAGAGAGAGAGAGAGAGAGAGAGAGTGCGACGGGGGAGGGGGGAGTATTTATGGAAAATGAAGTCAATCACAAAGGAGGCAGTCCTCTTGTCATGATTATTCTCGAGAGGAAGAATAGAATGGAAAGTTGGAATCAATCTTTCGGGAATATAAAAGAGAGCACTGACGGAAGTATTTATTGTTCTCGCGATAATGTGAAAAATCAAGCTACATTTAAGGTATTAAATTCCTTTCTTCTTAGATTTTTCTCATCTTAATAATGATTAATATTGTATAAATAATGGACTCTGACGGAATGTGTGGTAGCATTATTCTTTAATTTAGATGGACAATGAAATTAAATACAAATATTTTACAAATTATAAATATATATATATATATATATATATATATATATATATGACTTTGCTATTCATCAATTTAATTCATTTATCATGAAAAGTCGCGATAACAGTATGATAAATAACACAAAATGTATTGTAATTAATTAATAAAGTGGTGGTCGGTGGGAGGGGGGAGAGTTTCTTTTTGTAGCTTTTGCTTAACGAATGAATTATTATGTGCTGCTACAATGGAAGTTTTAATTTTTCTACGTGTTATCATGGATGATGTTTATTTAAAATTTCAATTAGTGCCTTGGCTAAGTAAATAATACGTTTACGTCGATAGCGACCACAGAAAAAAACAAACACACGCGCGCGCTCCCGCATCCGTGCACTCACGCGCACACAAACCATAAATACATATACTACATCGAATGAAATTAATATCGGACGTCGTTTTAATTCGAATGTAAATATTTCCACTGTAAATTAACGCGCTCGAGCTTGAAATTTCAAAATTTAGACTAATAAATTATCGAGCAATTATCATTAACTCCAAATTTATTGGCACTTTTCTTACATTGCAATACCGCTACATCCATAACTACTCGGCATAATCGTCCGAGAATTCACCTATTTACTTAATACATATACAAATCGATAAAAACTCCACAGGTGAAGAGTACACTCACCGATCCGAAGGCGCCCTCTGCTAGTTTCGAGAGCATACGAAGACGATGACGAGGGAAGAGGGGCACGCTGGTCTGCTCCAAGCGCTTCTTCAGAGCCGAAAGCACTTCCTGTTGCGTCGGCGACTGCAACACACGAGATCGTTTTTACCCGAGTAATGCTGTGTATGTGCATGCATCTTGGAGATATATAAACATTATATAAACAACGCGATATAATGGATTATTAGATGTCGCGATGCGGGGAAGTTCAGTGGCATATGGCAATGCGATTTCGCTTCCGCATTCGGGCGAAATAAAAAGTACGGGAGTTCAGGTTTGTTGGATAATTGACGATTATCTACCTCGTCGATGCTGGCCGTAAAAATGTCAAAAATAATCAAAAGATTATTTATATAGTTTCGTTAACTTATGACGAATTATGTTGCTCAATGAGCATGAAGAAAATGAAGTTTATAACAATATATGTTGCAAACTATGCAAACTCGTGTTTCTGCCTTTTACGTCAGTTTGGCATTTTTGTAAATTCGTTAAATTATTACTCGCTGCTGACATCTTATACTTCTTATATACATAGTAAGTATAAATTCAGCAGATTGTGCATAGTGTCAATTTCATAAAACTGATACGGGAGAGTGTATTATTTATTTATTTATGTTTTGTTGTTGTTGTTGTTGTTGTCATTATTCCAACAGCTCTTTATATACTTATAATGTTGAGTGAGATATAAAATCATTACTGCACGTGAATAAGTTTCTATAGTATTCTAGTTATAATTGACATATTAGTATAATCTTCCATCATGCCAAAAGTTGCATTATTAGGGATACCACAGAAATCCAAAATTTTATAAAGATTTACATATATATATATATATATATATACTATAAGTATTTTGTCGAAAAATAGCTGTAACATATCGTAAAGTGATATTATTATTATTCTAATTACTTGTTTACGAAAAGATATTTATAAAATATACTTAAAAAGTCTATTTCATTATCCTTATATCTGCTTGTACTGTAAAAATAAGATTCCTCTTATAATGCTCATATTTTTTATTTACAATTTATTAATGCGTAATGCCACCCATACTGCTAAATTTTAAATATTTTATACTTAAATTTCAATATTATTATAAAGCCGATAATAAATTCACCCGTACACACTGTTTTACATATTTATTATAATTATCAATAAAACGAGTACATCTAGAATTTATCAAAAATAATTTAAGTATTGTAAATGAATATTTTTACTCAATGGGCTTCTTAAAAATATAATATAATCGGGAAGAGCGATAAATACATTTATAAATCGTTAGATCGATATAAAGAGCTAAAGCAGTTGAGATGAATATGCTTCAAAACCATCCAACGTATTTATTTATAAAACTGATAAAAAAAAAAAAAAAAAAACTTGAAACTTGAAATTATATAGAAACCTATTTATAGAGATTTATTCATAATATTAACTACATTTTCATAAAAATTATTAATCTCTCTCGGTCGTCTTTCAATTATTCATTATAACAACCTTATGTCCATACTAACAAGATATTCGCGGCGCGTTTAGCCATCAAACTTGTTTACTTTTCGTATTTCTGTTCGACAATACGACATCAAACGAGTCTCAGAATTGAGAAATAGGAACTTGACCTTGACGCTTGAACATGTCATTATAGGCTTGGCATATTGAACAACTTATTACTACCTTCGGTAAAGAATAAAAAATAGATAAATAAAAAGTAAAATATGTATGTGCGAATGGGCGTTGATGATATTTAGTTAGGTAATGATTATAACATAAATTGATTAATCTGTAAAGTTGATTTAGTATTATTTTCTTTATATATAAAATTCAATAGTATTGTACCGATTCTATATAAAGTCCAATAATATTTATCCTTTATATATATATGATAGAATACTATTGTATCGTTTGTTTGTGCACGTCATTGTGTGTGTAGACAGACAGACAGAGAGAGAGAGAGAAAGATAGTTATAGTAAAATGGGGAGTATAGAACGTAAAATGAAAGAATAAAAGAAAACGTGGCAAAGTAAAAAGGGCATGAGATTGAGAGGCGAAGGTGCATGCACACGATTCCATTTCAAATGTTCTTTGTGAAAGCTGTAATACAGTTCGATCAGACTAAGCGCGACATTTCTACAACTTTTCTATGTGCCATACCTACATTGAAAATCGTTCAATTTCTCAACTGCGTCATAAAACTATTGGCACGTACATTTTATAAATACCCTAAACTTCATATATATATATATATATATATATATATATATATATATAATTAGAAACAAAATTGAAAAAAATTAGCCACGTTCTGTTCGTTTGTTAATATTGAAATTTATTATACTATGTTCAAAAAATTTAATCTCGTGATTCCTAAACTCTCCGTAATGGAATTACTATCTGATAAATTAAAAATGTATAGAAACGCTGATAAAATTCAATATAAAATTCTTTAAAAATCCATAGTTTTCAATGTTTAATAACGGTAATAAAAATTTTATCTTCAAGTAAATATTAATTACTATTATAAATTATATTAATCTTTTGGCTTATTAATACATTTAAATATTGTTAAAATCTCTGCCGAGTATTAAAATATTTTACTAATAAACCTATCTTCTGGAAAAATAAAGAATAAATCAATGTTTTAAGCTAGACAGACAGACTCTGTTAAACAGCATCGAATCTGAAAATTATTATTATTAATTTTTGAATTAATGTACAGAAGCTTATTAGATTTTTGATTTGATCAAAATTAAGAATTAGTTTTAATCACTTTGATTTTAGAATGAAATTTCTCCGGAAAAGTGAAGCGCGAAATACGCATGTAAGCGTGTAAATATTTAAAAAGTAAATCATTTTAATGTATGTTGTATTAATTTGTTTTTTACTTAATAAACTACGAAATACTAGTGATAAAGTTTATTAAGGTGAATTGAATTACTTGTTTCTGGCTAAAACTTTCTTATTTCTAAAACTTTCTAATTGGGGATCTTAGTGAAATCAATTAATTTAAAAAAAAAAACTCGACTTACGTATTTGATGTTTAATAATAATAATAATAATAATAAAAAAAAAAAAAATAAAGAAAGTTAATTGGGCAATATTGTTTTTCATTCAATAATAAATAAGAATAAGAAGATAATATATACGTAATGTTGAATTGGTTAAAAATTCAAAGGTATCTAAAAAATTTTTGTCGAATTGTCGAACAAGAAATAGAAGATGCTAAGGAAAGCTGGGATATATGCAAAATGCTTAATGGAATTGTATTTTTTTTTTTTTTTTTTTGAAAACTTGCGCGTACCGTAATGAGCAAAAATCGTATGTATACAAGACATTATTTATGAGATTGTGGATGAGCTGACATCGACTGAGCAAACTTTATCAAGGACAAGGAAACTGCTGTTCGCGGTTGCCCCGATTCTTCGGAATTAAGCATTCGTTTATCCAGTTATTATTGGAGAGAAAAATCGAAGGATTGATCCACAATACAAATTAAGACGAGAAAGGACTATGGTCTTGAGGATTATAAAGTTGCGCATAATAAAATCGCCCATGAAAAAAATAATACAATTTCCAAGCGAGCTATTCTGAATTTAATTTTTTTACTTAAAAATATTTTCGATATATACTAATGAAAATCTATATATAGAATCAACAACAATACAGATACAATGAAATAATAAAATTAAAATTAAATTATTATAAAAAAATCATAAATATCGTATACATACTCTTCTAAAATTATGTGAAACAATTAAATTAAATTGAATATTTAGCAATTAGATAAAAGCACTGTGTACAGAAAATCGTTTAAAGTCGTTAATTTTGTTATTGTAATGTACGGCAATAATCATTGATTTATATCGATCATCAACGATTTTTACGAATTTTTCTGCTACGCATTATTCTTTCATTTATAAGGTACTTATTCACGTGCAGTAATCAGTAAGAATCTAAATATTAAAATAATATCGACTGTTGTCTATAGAAATTGTAAATTCTGCTCTTATCATATCCACGATTGAGCTTATGTTTTTAATTTTGACAATGAAAATTTTAAACCAAGTGTGCCGGTATAGGTGCTTCCACCCAACCCATGCATGCCCCCTTTTGAATCCTTACGCACGACAGAGAATCTCACATTATCAATTGTACATTTTGCATTATTTTTTTAAACAACCTATCGTGCAAGTCCTATCGATCGATATATTGTTTTCTTTTTCGATGCTTTATCGCGGTAATGGGATGATGCACTGATAGCCCAGAGGAGAAGCTAAATCGTCCTTATCACACAATTACAGGAGATATTAAACAATGGAGATATGCTCACCTTCTTGTCATCGGTGCGGTTGCTTCGCGAGGATACCTTAGAAAATACGCTATCCTGGTCACTGCCTGTGCTACTCGTCGCTCCCCCATTGCCGAGGTTCATGCAGGCGCCGTTCAATAGCGGCTGCTGGGTCCCGATCTCCGGCACCGCGTAATCGTAAGACGTGTCGACTGTGCCGTTCGCGTACAGCGCTGCAATGCCAAGCAAACCAACAGTTTCACACCTCTGAGTCTCACGATATTCATTCACCGTGATGATTCACCGCGACTGGAGGGGTTAGTGAGTGGAAGTGATCGATGAATCCCCTATTGATTGGTTAGGTTGCGCAATGAATGTTTATTGAGAAAGAATGTGAATCGAAGATTAGGAGCGCGTTGGTGAGTTAGGAGATTAAAAATGGTGGATAGAAATGGTAGATTTGGGATTCGGCGGTTGATGTACTTGGGATGGATAGTACGCGGACCGTTTGTTACGTCGCGATGTTTGTTAGACTTATAATGTGTTGTTAAGTAGTTGCATTGGAGGATAGTGGAGTGTGCTTTGATGGATTTTGTCGTGAGGTGCGATTGACCATCTGCTGCATACGATTATAATGTTTGAAACGACAAGATATTTGTCACGAAAAAATAGAAGAGTAATTTGTTATGAATTTTTATTTCTGACTGCATAAGTTTCTGTAGAAAAGTATTTGCTTAGCTATCATAACGAGAGTCATACTTTATTAAGAGCGACAATGAATATAACAAATTCGTTTTTCATATACTCTGATTGAATTGACATTACGTTATAATGATATATTGTATCCACTCTTCATGGCTTGGCTTCCAACTACAACCCAAGTTGAAACTATTACTTTGGAAATTGTTAAACTTTAGCCATTATGAACAACTGACACCTGGGCATTATTACAGTTGATCGTCAGTAAAGTTTTAATCCAATACGTTAAAGAGATGATGGCGTTTAACATTGCCCAGCTTCTCCTATCTCAAAACTTTCTAATGACCCAGTTAATTTTTAGAAAATCTACCGTCACTCAGAGTGAAATTATGAACGTTATGTTTTTTCTTTATTTATTATTATTTTTTTCTTTTTTTCTTTTTTTCTTTTTTTTTTTTTTTTTTTTTATTATTGTATTCTGGTTATTAATGCGATTCCACGAGATTACGTATTTCTTAAGATTGTGTCGTAGGCAATTTTGCAAAATATTACGTCAGAACAGACGTAAATAATTTGATGAATTTATACAAATTCTAATTCGTTTTTTATCTAAACGTTCGACTTTCTCGTCGTTTAACAATGTCTTGATAATCATTATTTTACGAATTGCCTATTCTCAAATAGAAACTTAATTCTAGTAGTTATTCTAATTTCCATACGTATTGCATAATATTATACTTATTACTGCTGAATTACTGCTCAATATTTCTTCAATTAAGAGGTAAGTTTCATAGATATTTATTTAAGACAAAATACTCAAACTTTACGACTCGGAATGGCTCTACGTGGCAAAGGTTGACTTCGTGGATTCTGCATGCCATGAGCAGTTCATTGAATTAATGCGAGTACTTTTGCTTAAGTTAGACCTATCCATACTGAAAATCATAGGTGAAAGTTAAATATTGCATGAGTTTTGTTTAGATAGTAAATCGAAACTAATGTTATGTATTTATTTATTTATTTATTTTTTTTTTTTTTTTTTTTTGTTGCTTTTTTATGTTTTTGTTTAATTTTTGTTTTATGAGTAACAGTAAAATGAAACTATGAGGAACGAAAGGACGGACGGTGACAATTAATTGTATAATTGGAATTTGATAATCGATGCTGGCTGGGATAGTAGCTATTTGTTATGGTTATATTTCTCGGGCAGTTACAGCATTAGCGGGACAAAACACAACTATTATAATTACAGCAAAATTCCTATGTGTATTGCATGTATTCCATGGCTGGGTGTGGTTGGGAAAACATTATCCATTGGCGTGGCGAGAATGGAATTTCTAGCAAACACGATCTTCGTCTTGATCGCTTAAACGCAACGCTAATATCGACAGTCTCTCTCCATACAACTATAATGGAATAAAAAATACTACTCACCCGAATGATTGATGCTTGACGATTTGTTGTTCAGCATCATGTCTTTCATCTCCATGACAACGGTGCTGTAGCTGTAGTAGGGCGCGTACTTGAGCGCCTGGTAAGGCTCCTGATAATCGTCCAGCTTGACGATATCGAGGAGCCGATTGCCGAGGTCCCGTGGTAGCGTCGGCAACGAGCCACCCGCGTACCTTAGGTGTTGTCGCCGACGACAGCAGCGAGCGGGAAAAAGAAAACAAACGCACACGGCCACGGATTAAACGGGTTGTCCGGGAGGAGCGGATGGAGGTGGCGTGGTAACGAGGCAGAAAACGACGCGTCAATGTCGGCCGAGCTTTTTGCCCTTGTGGAAGGATGGGACGAGGGAGAGGAAGAAAAAGGCTTTCTTAGCTTAGGTATCGCGTGAGGAAAATTGGACGTGGATGAAGGGGGGGGGGGGACGTGACGGTAGAATGAGTGTTAGCGGTGTGCGACCTGTCGTCGTCTCGGCTTCGTGTGCCTCTTTCGTCGATACATGTGAATTTTTGCTCGAGTACAAGTGCGTTTCACCGCATTGATTGAACATGATTTACTATTAATTTTTTTCCCCTGGCAAGTATAGACGCTTCAATGGGCAACGAGCGATAATCAAAGTATTTAATATTCATAATACTCGATGGTGTTTAACATTTAAATAAGATAAATCGCTCGATTATTTCATTAGACAAAGAAAAAGGAAAAAATTTTAGTACATTACCGTGCAGTGATTAATAACAGTTTAATCAAATATCAGGTATACATTCGTTTTTGAATAACTGCAAATATGTCAAAAGTGTTGCAATTAATATAATTTTATTAATATAATATAACTATAATCATATTAATTTAAAGTAAATTAGAAGAAGTAAAAGTTTCATATTTTGTAGCTCGTTTTACGTGGCTCTAATTATATCTATGGAAATCGTTATCCCTAAAACTTCAATCTTAACTCTATTTGTTCTAATAATTTTTGGCTTCTTATTTAGGAATAATGTGTTTGACGTTTTAACTGCGAAATAATTAACGAATAAGCCATTTTCTATATATGATAATACTTACGATGAAACTTGTAAATTGTAAAATAATATAATCTAACGAAATGTTACAAAGAAATTCGAGATAAAAAAGAGATAGGGTAATAGATGTAGCGCGAGCTAAAAAGAGAAAGTGGAAAAAGTCAAAGAGGGAGTAAAGAAGAGGCATATTCAAGACCACTAACGAGCTTCGTACATTGATTGAGAATTGCAAGAGATAGAGACGAGAACGGGTGAAAGAGAGACTGAGTGCGAGAGAGACAGATAGAGAGAGACAGAGAGAGTGAGAGAGAGTGAGAGAGAGAGAGAGAGAGAGAGAGAGAAGAACGTGCGTGGAGAAAAAGCACAGAGTGAAGAACGAGCGAGTATCGGAAAAACGAGACAGGAACCGAATGAAGAATACGATCACTCGACCGCAAAACGACGAATGATACCTTTCTGATTTTTAAAAAGGGAAAAATTTTATATCCCTTGACCGAATAATCCATAAAATGAACTTTATTAGGAAATTCTATTATTTTACTTATCTTTCATTTGTAAAGGAAAATTTAACATTTTTTAAGAATTTTTTATTGTTTTTATAATTGATTTATAATATTGTAAAAACTGCAAATACCGATGAATATAAATAGGCGGTATAAAAGTTTTTTATCTATTCTATATCGGTTAAATTTGTAATGAAGAATATTATAATTATACATATACGGATTAAATATGAATCTGTGAATTCTTTAAAATTATAAATACAGATAATGAATTTTAGTAAATAATTTAATAATAATACAAGATGAAAAAGGCCAATGGCAATTAAACGGCATTTATATTAACGTTGGCCGTTTATAATACGTAAGTTATTCTGCATAAAAATCAAAAATACGAACGAAGAAATAAAAATGAATAATTTTTGTACATGTATATTGTATTTAAAATATAATTGTGTTGAAAAAAAATAAGTGTATAGAGTTCGAGGAGGGTAGTATTTCAAAACACGTTTTTTCTTGGTAATTTTGTCATTTATTTCGGTTATTAGTTAAGCAAAAAATATAATATAGTTTATATTCTTAATAATATAAATTTAGTATAAAAATACTAAATCATGTACATTCAATGAACATAATATTTAGAAAATTATTTTATAATCGAATTTGTAAATGTGAAAGCTTATAAATATAAAGGAATCGTAAGGTTTCATTCAATTACAAGAGCGTAATTTTCGTGGTTTGAATTACTTTAAAAATTAAATATATTCTACCGATGCATTATAAAATCATATATCAGTATATATATATAGTTTGTATTATGTTATTGTACTTGCGGTATATTTATTATTTTATCTTAGTTTAAAAAAATATATTAGCTTATTGTTTTGGTATAAATATGCCACTAATAATTCTTATCTCATTAGAACACATACCCGAGTGTTTATTTATTATTCTACTCTCACAATAACAATAATAAGATTGACAAAAATGGAGCTCTTAAATTATGAATATTTTAATTATTTGTAAAAAAAAAAAACATTTTTCTATTATTATTCATGTATTTGGATTTACGAACATTGAAATAAAATATGAATTATTTGTAACATTTTGGCGTATTATATTGACGGGGAAAAAAAAAAAAAAAAAAAAAAGAAAGAAAAAAATATTTAAGAAATTTTTATCTATTAATGATGTTGTTGTTGTTGTTGTTGTTGTTGTTGTTGTTGTTATTGATGTTGTTGTCGTTGTTTGCCTTTTATATACACTCATTTAATTTTAACCCTTCGAAGTAAGACATTGGTGACTACGCAAGCTAAAAAAAGATGTAAATACTTCTCTTAAAATAATTTCGCCAATAACGCATTATAATTCTGATGGATTATTAGCTGCGAATAAATGTTGAACATTCCCGGTTTTATTGCATACAACAGATTTGGTGCTTATTTTGCAAGAAATACAATAAAAGCAACTTAAAAAGGAACTTAAAATTACCTTTCCACGGTTTTTAATGATAATCGACAAAAATTTTTAATTATTATTCCCGAAGAAAAATTGGTAAAATTATTTCATTCATTTTCAATGTAAATTAGTAAAAAAAAAAAATAAAAAAAAAAGAAAATACAAAACGGTACTTATTTTTGTATTAAATGCTTCATATTAAATGTGTGTTGTTCATAAATATTATAGTTTTGGTAGAATTTTGGTAAACGTAGTGTCTTCTGTTGAAAAGCTTTTTATAATTATTACAATTAAAAATTAATTTAAAATTCGCTTATACATTACTCTATCATAATTCATTTTAATCATCCTAATTTAAGATACAATTATTACGTTAAATATAAATTTCAAAATTGCGTAATTTTTTTCTTTCTTTCTTTTTTTTTATCCATTTTAAGAATATTATATATTTTTTTTTATAATATACGAGTATGCTAAAAATAAATAAAATTTACTGTTTTAATTGTACGTTAATACTAATTAAATAATATTTTCTGAGCGCCTTAAAAAATCTAATCAATATATTAATTTAATATACGCTAATATTGTAAAATAGTACACGATTAACATTAACACCAAAATATAATTATACAAAACACATTAATATGAGTAATATAAAATGTTATAATTAATTTCTAAAGACTCGTTTATGTATGGTAAAGCTAACAGTGTGACATGAGTTTGTTTTTTATTTTATTTTTTTATTTTTTTTTTTTTTTTTTTTTTTTTTTTTTTTTTTTTTTTGTTTGCTTTAGTTGAGACATAAGTTTAATAATAAGACCTACAAGTACTTTATTATCTCTCAAAATATAAATAACTACATGGCATATAAAAAGTAGATTTAAAACTGTTTCACTTAAATCATTTATTATGTTTTTTTTATTTTTTTTAAGTTTATCGTAAAAGGTATTCCGCGTTTGAACATTTATTTATTCATTTATATATTTGTTTATTTATTTGTTTATTTATTTATTAATTATTATTCTTATTGATTTCTTTCAGCATTAAGAGGAAAACTTATTCTTATTTTACAATTTTAAAATTAATAATAAATATCGTGTTAAATAAAACGATTATACATGTGTTGAAAGGGCAAGACATGAAATACACATTCAAAAATTAATGTATATTATATTAATACATTATTATGAATCGAATTATCAATAATTATTGAAATAAATAATAGAAATGAACCAATTAATTACGTAAGCAATATATATATATATATATTAAAATTACCTGATGAACGTTTTGAATTGGTTTTTGTTCGAAAAATTTACGCTTTACGTTGTAAATTTTACAAATCACTAGACTCCATATAATGCTTTTTTCATTTTAATTAAAATATTTCATTTTAATTGAATAAATAAATTATGGCATTGCATTGACAAATCCTTTTACGTGTCTTAAAAATTGACAAAATACTATATTTCAAGTATTCCGCTGTACTGCGCATGATTTAACGCACATAATACGTATTTACTAGAATAAGAATATGTCAATTATGATTTATTATCATGTAAATCATTTTTTTATTACATCGTTAATTTAATTATGCGTATTCTTGAAAATGGGCTTTCAGGCATAAATATTATTATGAGGTAGATTTTAGTTATGAAAATTCGGCACAATGAAACGTCGTTCGATGCAGTTGGACTCCAATTATTCGATATTTAAGTTCAATATTTCGAGATATTGGTGCAAGAGAAAAGCGTATTTTAGTTATCGAATCGATATAAATCTTCGAATGGCACTGCAGTGATTAATATCTTACGTAATCATCATAATTTCAGAATAAAATGTAATAATTTCAAGCCCGATTAATCCTATTAAAGGCAAAACGTTCTTAAAATTATGTAAAAGTCATGTCGAGTTAAGACTCGTGAGCGGTCGTAATGCAAAACAGACACGGCAATTTATCATTGACAATGAATGTGTAATCCGATGGTACCCGAAATGTCAACTCGCTGAAGCAGGACAACAACTCGGACGTACCTCCCCCCCCCTCCTCCTCCTCCTCACCTCATCGCCCTTCTCTCTCTCTCTCTCTCTCTCTCTCTCTCTCTCTCTCTCTCTCTCTCTCTCTCTCTCCCCATACGCCACGTAATCAATGTCACTCACACGAGCATCGATAAGAAGTAGAAAACGAAATACCATCACGAGACAATGTAGCACAACAAATACCACACAAAGAATTCCTTCGGTGCGCGCAGCAGCCCTTACCCATAATACATAATGAGGCAGGTATTGGACTCGAAGGAATTAGCATTCGCACATTAACGGACGTGACATTAGGAGAAGGCCGATAAGCCGTTGCTCGCGCGATCCTACAAATGGCCACCGAGGAGGTTCGTGAACTCGTCGAGAATCGAAAGCTCATACCTCTCGTCGTCCTCGAGGGTGTAGGCCATGAGAGCGGCGCCCTTCTCCACGGTGGCGCAGGTCGAGCCGAGGTGCGACGGCGGCTTCCCGTTCACCGGGCTGGCGAAGCACTTGCGCTGACGGTGTCGAGTGACGATTAGGAAGATGGCGACAGCGAGGAGGAGGATAACCGCCGTTAGCACGCCGATCACCACGGCCATGTAGGTCGGGTCGTCGTGCTTCGCTTGGGAGACCGGCGGCTCGCCGATGCCCCGTACCGTGCCCTTCTTCTCCACGAAAACATCGCTGAGGGCCGGCGTCTCCGTCGACGTCAGCTCCTCGGCGCTGAAATTCCCATGCGCCACCACTGCAACAATAAGCATTATTATAGGCTCGGTAACGTCGTGGCCCGCACGCCTCTTCACCCTCGCATTTTTATTTCTCGCGTTATTACCTCCCCACCACCACAACTTACAGTGCCTTTCTTTTTCTTTTTTTTTTTTTTTTTTTTTTTTTTTTTTTT